TCTTAGTGTAACTGAGCTTGGGCCTTGAGGCAGAGACATATTGTGTTTGCTTTGATTGCGTGTCATTCATCGTTTTGTTAATCTCCTGTGAATAGTGTGATTATAAACATGCATTATTAAGTCTGTGAGTAAAATAAGCATAGAAATGAGCTTAAAGATATTGTAAAGATGCATGAAAGTCACAATATGTAGTAAATTATGTAACAATAACTGAAATATCGTGGGCTGTCACAATATATCGAATTACAAGTTCCTTTGCTTAAATGCATGGTTTTATAGTAGCAACATCTTATGAACATTGGAAACTACATATCCCATGATTCATTTCAGTTCAAACAACATGAAGAGATATGTTTTTTACTTGAATTCTTGGGATTATGATGAAAATAATTCACACCAAAATCTTGTCAAGGTATTTTAAAAGCAAAAAAGTGTCCTATCTGCAGTTATATTAGTCTCTCCAAAATATTGCAATAAATATCGTATCGTGAGCTGCATATCGTGATAATATCGTACCAAAAAAAAGACAAAAAATATATATACAAACAAAGAAAATAAGAGCATGTGGGGGGTTTGTGTGTGTGCATGCGTGCACGTGTGTGTGTTTTTTATGATTATTATTGTTGTTTTTTTTCATTTTGGTTTTGTTTATTGCACTGAAAAACATGGCAACAACATGGGTGCTTATGTGGGCAGGCTTGCATCTCCACAGACCTGACTCTTATTATTTGAACTCCTGAATTGCATTGTTCCTTTGACTATAATACTGTATGTCATAAAGCTATAATCTTTTTCTATGGGATGGTTGGGGTGGAATGTTCCACAGTATGGCACAGAGGTGGGACCAAGTCTTTGTTTTGCTAGTCTCAAGTAAGTCTCAAGTCTTTAAGCTCAAGTCTGAGTCAAGTCCCAAGTCAAACACGGGCAAGTCCAAGTGGAGTCTCGAGTCACCTGCCCATAAGTCCAAGTCAAGTCCAGTCTGCTTTGAGCTTCAAGTCATTTCAAGTCTTTAAACCAAAATACCAAATACAGCTTAGATTTTTGCAATTTATATGAATTTTAAAATAAAATGCACTTTTAAAAATCATAGTATATTTATATATGAGTATTTATAGAGTATATAAGAGTTGTAGAAATTGTATTTAGTTTTTAGTTTTTAACCGACATGACATTGACAAGATCTTAGTGTGAATCATTACGGTCAGAATAGAAAGAATTCAGATTTAAAAGTGCTTCTCAAGTCCGAGTCAAGTCCCAACTCACTGACCTTCAAGTCCAAGCTGAGTTCCAAGTCTTAATCCATTTTATCAAGTCAAGTCTCAAGTCCTAAAAATAGTGACACAGGTCGGACTCGAGTCCAAGTCACGACTTGCAAGTCCCCACCTCTGCTATTAAACTGTCTTCTTGAGCTGAGCAGTACCAGGCAAAGTTGCAGGTAAGATCTGTGGATAGGTCAAAACAAGTCAGTAAAAATAAGTGACAGTTAAAAATACTGGTACTGTATCTTGTTTGGAGTCGTTTGCGAGCAAGGTGTGGAGTAATTTCACACCAGTTACATAAGCCCAGTTAACGTGAAATTAGAGTCTCTATTAGACTCTATTGAATTCACTGAACTCTGGTGACCTGTTGTCGGTAATACAGGCCTCCTCCTTAATCTGGTATTGTGCTTTTTATAGACACTCAAAGTTTATTTACAACTTAAAAGTGCTGTACCTGATTTTTACAGTTCTAAAAAAACAGAAAAACAGAGCTAGTTCATTTTAAACATTTTGCAGTGGTCCAAAGTTATTCCTCGTTTACCTTATGCATTCAGAGCATCCTAATTATTCATCGCACTTTTCAGAGACCAGAGCAGAGTTTTGCCAAAATAAAGCTAACAACAACTAGCATGCTAACTCACACTTCCTGATTATCGAACAGTAAAATACTTTCAAATTCAGTGCACACAGAGGTCTCATTTTACCTCTTAATCTGCTTATGTGTACTGGGGCAAAACACATTTTACAGATATAGATATGTGTGTTTTATTTATTGTTTGATAATCAGGAAGTGCGTACATTAGCATGCTAGTTCTTAGGTTTACCTGTACGACAAAACTCTGCTCTGGTGTCCGGAAGTTGCAAAAAGTGCTTATAAGCTCATTGTGGTAAATAATTAGGGAGTTAGAAAAGTGAAGAAAAACCTTGGACCTTGTATTTTATTAAAGATGCACTGCGCAACTTTTCTGGTGGAGTTTTCTGGTAATGAATTGTCTCCGAGGAAATCTTATTGCTTTGTGTAGAATATTCAACAATAGAGAGTACATGAGGAAGACAAGCAGGTTACAGTACTACGCCACTTTACAGTTCAGATCTGTGGGGAGTCGCCCCCATGAAATAAACTTCAGAAACAGCGCCTCCATATGAATGAATTAAATACGCACTTAGATTCCACTTACAATTGATCATACTATTTGACAGCACCACTGAAACTTGTATAAACATGTATTCACTTTGATGTTTACATAACTGTGCAAATCTTAAAAGCTTATTAGGGGATGTATCTTTCATGTTCTTTGCCGAATTGCTCTTGCGAAAAACGTAAACAGCTTTTAGTGAATGCATTTTACAAAGAATACTTAAGATTAGAGATATGCAAACATGGCTTCCCTGTTTTGATTTCTTTACTTTGTGCATGAAACAGCTTGAATCTCACATTGTCAGTGCTACAAAGCTCAGATCAGATTACAACATAAATTTTTGGCTTTGGATTACGAGGAAAGAGTTTTGGATCTTTGCGAAGAAGATGACAATGAATAGGGGTTTTGGCACTTATTGTGGGAACATTAGCCCATTTCCTAGTGGGTAATATGATAGGCCAAGGTTAGGTTACATAAGAGCACCTAGAGATGTATTACTGACAACAGGGAAATCAAAATTTTATTCTTTGTCCAGTTGTTTTATTGTGTTAACGTGTGTCCAGTTGACAACATTGAATAGTTCTTTTGCTATGTGTCGTGCTATGGGATTACACCGATATCTTACTTCTATCCATCTATCTTCTTCTGCTTATCCGGAGCTGAGTCGTAGCTGCAGCAGTCTGAGCAGGGACTCCAAGACTTCCCTCACCCCAAACACTTCCTAGCGTGTCCTCTGTCTTTTCCCAGACCTTCCTCCTGGTCCGACATGAACACCTCCCCAGGGCGGCGTCCAGGATTCATCTGGACAGCCTGAATCTCAGCTAGATCCTTAAGGAGCAGTGGCTCTACTCTGGGCTCCTCCTGTGTGACTGAGCTCCTCAACGTGTCTCTAGGAGAGCGCTGGACGTTGAGTAGGGTGTTGAGTGAAATAACTCAACTCCCTCACTCAAGTAGTTTTTATTCAAGTCCTCATAGTATCCACCCTTTGCTTTGTCCACATCGCTGCAAAACCTTGACCTTCTCTCAATGAGCTTCAGCATGAAGTCTCCTGAAATAGCTTTCACTTCACAGCTCAGCCTTATCAGGGTCAAGAAATGTCAAGAGTACAAAGCAAATGGTGCCTGTTAACGCTCAGCAGGGGTTTGATTAAAAGTTTTGATTCTCAACATTTCTTCATAAATTGATGCTTAAATTATGTAAAACTATAATACATAAAGTACCTGGATTTGTGGATTTCGCAAAAACAATGTCTAAAAAATTCACTGAGGAAATCTGTGAATTTGTGTGATTGGTGATCCACAAATGCAAATCACATTTTACAAACAGAATTTTCAGTTTCCAAATGTAATTTTTATTTTATTTTTTGCATTTGTGGATATCAAATATATATATATCAAAACACATTTACAAACCAATGTTTATTTGTAGCTCACCCTGTGCATTATGAATATTAATGAGGCAAAAGTAACCCCAGATCTTATTTTCTCCAAAGGGTTTCCCCAGTTACTACAAGGTGGATCAGATTAAGACATGTGATCACAAAAGGTGAGTCAAGTCTATTTGAGTCTATTTAAATTATGTATGAATTATTACACCAAGTGCTTTAAGAAAGACATAAATAAAAGGATAAATGATCAAAGTAAAATGAACTTTAGAGGGCTCATATTACACTGTTTTCTGATCTGTGCTATAATGTTTGCTCATCACAAACACACCTGGAGTTTTATTTTGTTTCATTTACACATTTTAAACACACACACCTTCTAAAGTCACGTGGTAATACAAATAGTACTCCCCTGTGTTTTTAAACTCCATACACTTTCATTTGGATAATTTCAGCCCTGGAATTGCCCGTCTCTACTGAATAGCCACCTTTTACCTTTAGGTTAACTTGAAAACTATCGCTTCATGACACCACAAGTTGGAACAGAGGATTTTGAGGTTTGGAGATGTAAACAGACTAATAATGAAGTGTCTTGCCCAAGAACACTAGAGTACCTGGTATTACTAACGGTTTCCTAATCATTACTATACAGGCCCAACCCTGTTTAGTTTAGGGATTGGATGAGATTTGGCACACTTAAGATGGTACGGTTGGTTCAGTTATTTCACCTTGAGACCATTCTCTACTTTTTTTCCCCCTAGTAATTTTAATTTTAATTTTTTTTAATTTTAATTTTAATTTTAATTAAAAATATATATATTTAAAATGTTTAATTATTTTTTTTTAAATATATATTTTTTTTATTTTACATTTTAAATTTAATTATTTTTATTTTAATTTACACCACTGCATACTTTGCAATGTTGGAATTTATACAAAACACATTTAAGTACACACATTATACTACTAGATCTTTTTTTATTTTTATTTTTTTATATATAGGTATTGCACATTAAAACTCATTGCAAATTTCACAACTTCCACTATTCTGAACCAAATGTAAATTAATTTGAATATAGAGAACTTGAGTCCATAAACAAAATGCTGTCTGACCTGATTAGCTCATGCCTTGAAACTTCCTGGCTCAGGTCCAACAGTGTTTCAGCTCTGGGTTTTTCCCGCTTTCATAGTATAAAAACAGTACAGCTCTCCAGGTACAGTCACTATCTCTCCTCCACCTGCAAGAGACTACAGCTCACTGCAGAAATACAACAGAGAAATATACCTGAAAAACTATGGCAAGCAGCAAGTTTATTCTTCTGAGCCTTTGCTCACTGGTGCTCCTGTCCCAGTTCATCACTCCAGCGCAGTCATGTAAGTACAACCAACTACTTTTATGCTACTTTGGATTAGATCATCTGAGTGAAATTACAAGTGAGTTTGTTGTAGAGTATTTCTAACAGTAGCAGTAGTAGTAGTAGGAGTAGCAGCAGTGGTAGTACTAGTAGTAGTACCAGTAATAGTAGCAGCAGCAGGAGGAGCAGTATTAGTAATAGTAGTAGAAGTAGTAGTAGTAGTAGGCAGCAGCAGTAGTAGTAGTAGTAGTAGTAGTAGTAGTAGTCAGCAGCAGGAGTAGTAGTAGTTGTAGTATTAGAATTAGTAGTAGTAGCAGCAGCAGCAGTAGTATTAGTAGTAGTAGTATTCATTCTGTGCTTAGTAGTTTGTCTGGTTTTCAGAAAGTAGTAGTAATAGTAGTGGTAGTAGTAGTAGCAGCAGACTTTGCAGTTGTAGTACAAGCTAAGAAATTGTAATAGTAGCAGTAGTTGAAGTAGTATTAGTAGCAGTAGTAGTAGTAGTTAGAGCAGCAGTAGTAACAGTAGTAGTAATAGCCTAGAAGTCTGCAGTCATGGTGTATACACTGCATTCCTCCAACTAGTCTAAAAGTAGTAGTAGTATTGAAAGTAGCAGCAGGTCTTGCAGAGGTAGTATAAGCTAAGAAGAAGTAATAGTAGTAGTAGATCTGTTGTACTTGTAGTTTACTGTAAAAAAAAAAAAAAGAAACTGACTGATCTGACCTGTTTTGTGTATTTTTAGGGAGCTGCTGTCTGAAGTACACCAAGAGACCGTTGCCATGTAAAAGGTTGCTGGCCTACAGCATCCAGACCGTGAAAAAGAACTGTGACATCAACGCCGTCATGTGAGTATTTCAACTAGTATTAGTAGTAGTAGTAATAGTAATAGCAGCAGCAGTAGTAGCAGTAGAAGTAATACTAAAACGTCCACTATTTGTATTTTTTTAAAGTGTAAATTGTACTAGAAATTCAGTTTGCACCATACTCCATAGCAGCAGATGACAAATAACTCGACCAAGTGTTACATATTGTAGGATGCAGTTAATATTTAGTTAGTTTGAACTTAAAACCGGACACTTTAATTAACTTTGGTTGTTAATTATCCCACAGATTCCACCACAGCAGCGGCCGGTTTGTGTGCGCAGACCCCCTGTCCCCCCAGACCCAGAGAGGCATGCAGTGTGTCGAGTAAGTCCCTTTATATTCACTCACATCACAGAGTTATTATGTGCAGTACAAAGATGTGAACTGTGTACTTATACTGTGTTTTCTTTTCTGTTTTAGTGAGAGGAGGAAGCAAGAATCAAAGGTCCTGAAGCAATAAAACCAACACTCATGTTAAATATTTGAACTCAGCTATACTCAGCTTGCTATTTAATTGTCTATATCTAAATCTATATTTATGTGTGTGTGTATATATATTTTATATATATATCATTGTGTATTGTTCTATTTTATGAACAGGCTTTAGTAGTATTTGTAATACTGTACAAGACATTTAATTTTGGATAGAAACACATGTAAACTGTGGATGCAGTGATTTTGTATTGTTCACTTAAGTGAATGTAAAGTAAAGCAATAATGTTGAACTATAAAAGGTGTAACTTGGTTTAATTTCTGTACTGTAATAATAGGCTTCAGTAAAATATTCAATTAATTTACACATTGTATTTGACTTTAGATCGGAGTTTAGATAGAAAAGTTCTGGAACGATTCATTTCTGTCCAGTTGAAGTGACTTTTTTAGTATTTCGATACTAGTTTCAATTCTACACTGGAAAAAAATCTAGATAAGTTAAAATGACTTAAATTAAGAACATTTTATTTAATTTGAGTATATTCAACTTGACAAGTGAAATGATCTAACTTCACAGGGACAGTTTATACTTCCACTACCCTGAAAAGAACTGTTCTGTACAAAGCTTCTTTGGAACACGCTCCCCCAAACCTAAACCATTCACAAAAATGAACCAAGTTTTAAGAAAATGTTAAAGAAATATATTGGAAATTGTACATAATTATATTTAGTCACTTTCTATGCATTGTCATTTATTGGATATATTATAACTGTAGTAGTGTTGTGTAGTGTAGTACTATGGAACGGAACTGTATGAACTTATGTGTGAACTTTTTTGTTATTATATTGGAACAGTTTATTGTAAATTATGCCAACTTTGACCCCAGGAAGAAAAGTCTTTACCCCACTAAAGACTAATGGAGACCCAGTAAATAAATAAATGAATAAATCTACCAATGGAATAAGTGTGTTTTTATTCATTCAAGCAACATTTGATTTTGTTTCTTATTTTAGGTTTCTTTCTAAGTGTAGCAAGATGTATTTTCCTATCTTAAGTACAAAAAGTCTCATTCCACTGGCAGATAAATGTACTTGTCGAGAGAAATTGACTCAAATCATGATCAAACTTTCTCACTTCAAGTCATCTCAACTTGACTAGATTTTGTTTTTTGCAGAGTAGTTTTTCCAAGACTTTGAACCACCTTAATTAACTGTAGGACACTGATTCCCGCAGGCTTCATCTGTGGTGCATTCTAGCAACAGAAGAAAACAGTTCTCACATTTTCAGAGTCTGAGCGCAGCCAGGAGCTTTCGAAGAAACCAAATCTATGTCAGCAGAAAGAGAGAGAGAGATTAGGATATTTTTAGATCTTTTTATAAGGTTGTTTCCTCATCACAAACATACACCTGCTTCTTTTTTGCTACTTATTAAGAATTTATTATTTAAATTCTTTACGTTTTGCTATTATATGATACTGTGTCCCTTGTGGATCGATTAAGTTTGTCTAAGTCTAAGCCTAGAGTTGTGTTTTGTTTCATTCACACATGTTTAACTCACAAACCCTGCATATTTAATGATTTTACTCAAACATAAATCACTCTGCTCCACCTCGTTATGTCATGTAATGATACAGGAAGTGTTCCACTGTATTTTTAAACTCCACACACCTTCACTGGAATCATTTGTGCAAATTCAGTTACAATCTCTACTGCACAAACGGTAAAAGGCAGTTCTCAACTTGAAAACTACTGCCACATGACATCACAAGGTGGAGTGGAGCGTTTTGAGCTCTGAAGATGTAGACAGACTAATAATAAATTGTTACTCAGACATGTTGAATGAAACAAAACACAACTCCAGGTATGTTTTTGAGGAGGTAACAGCATTATAACATGACTTCAAGCTCACCAAAGTCAATTTAGGACCTTTAAGATTACAACATACGGACCTGGAAGCAATAAGTAATACGAGTTGATGCAAAAAAAATAAAAAATCTGTAACTGCATTGACACTTTCAGTTATTTAGGTCAGAGTTCAAAGAACGCTTACTGTTCTTTCCGTTAGTCATCACCTGAGTTCTTGTTGGTCGAGTCCTCCGTATGGGAGAAGTCACGATAATTTTCCACTTCACAAAATATAATCCAGGATTAACCCAACTGTCATATTCACGTGAGTCTGTGAAGTTGAGATGGAAGAACAGGTCAGACTTAAAAACATAAAGATGTACTGTACTGGTGCTTATCTCGTAAAACCGCATCTCTGTCCTCACTTCTTATTTCTGCATTAAACTTTTATGTTACGCCCTAATGCAAAACTGAAATGAACAAAGACTCTTCCAAAAATATAATTAATCAGTGAGTTTTTATTTAGATCAGTGTATTTGTTTACACAATCTGAGTTAAATATTTATGATAGAAAACAAAACAAAAAACAGATCTGCACCAGAGCTCCCATAAAAAAAAAAAAAAAAATCACAGTATTTACACAATTTAAAGAAGGGTAAGGTTTAGATTTTGTACTTATAAACATGAACTATATTCCCATAAACAAAAAGTATGAGACTTGTAATGTTCCATTAACGTTCCATTGCATTAAACTAGACATGTCAAACTCAGGCCCAAGGGCCACATTTAGCCCACAATATAATTATATTTGGCCGGCGAGATCATATCAAACATGTATTAGAGCTGGCCCACTGGCTACAGATCGGCTATAGAAACATTATTTATTTAAAATGTTGTTATTATTATAATATTTTGCTTGTTCTGGATTCAATGTTTAAGCAAAACTATTATTTAACTTTTATGTTACACCCTAATGCAAACTGAAATGAACAAAGACTCTCCCAAAAATATAATTTTTAGTTTTTATTTAGATCAGTTTATTTATTTACACAATTTGAGTTAAATATTTATGAAAAAATAAAAAAATAAAAAAATCACAGTAGTTACACAATTAAAAGAAAGGTAAGATTTAGATTTAGTACTTATAAAACATGAACTATATTCCCATAAAAAAGAGTGAGACTTGTAATGTTCCACAGTTTTGCATTAAACCAATGTCAAACCAGGTCAAACTCAGGCTCACCGACCAGATTTAGCCCGCGATATAATTATATTTGACCCTCGAGATCATATCAAACATGTATTAGTGATGGGATGTATTATTTATTTAAAATTGTGTTATTATTTTATATTTTGCTTGTTCTGGATTTAATGTTTAAGCAAAACTATTATTAAACATTTATTTTAATAAGAAAGAAGACATATCTCGAAAGAAGAGAAAACATGCAGATGTTGATGAAATTTTCCATGAAATACTTAGTTTGGCCCACAGTCCCAGTTTTAAATTTTGACCCTCTGTGAATTTGAGTTTGACACCGCTGCATTAAACTAATCTATCTCCATGGAGACAAGCTAAGTTACAGGTCTGATCTGTGGAGGGAACACATGCTATCCAAGGTATTTTTAACACTCCACCAACGCCACCTTGTGATGTCACGTGGTAATACAGGAAGTGCTCCACTGTGTTTTAAACTCCACACACCTTCACTGGAATCACTTTGGATCATTACAGCCCTGGAAATGTCGATCTCTACGGAACAAAAGTTAAACGGGAGCTGTTAACTTGAAAACTACCACTACATGACATCACAAGGTGGAGCAGAGCATTATAACATGACTTAAAGCTCACAAGAGTCAGTTTTGCTTTGATGTGTCTCATTCTTCGTCTGTTACAGTGAGCAGGAGTCTGTCCGCCGCTTTCGACTCGGTGCAGGTTAAAGCTTTTCGGAGTTTTTCCCAGAACAGTTGAGTCTCTGGTCCGGTCCCGGGCCAGCTCAGGTACGTCTGGCTCTTCAGGACTCTCCTCATGCGGTGATACGGAGTCAGGTGAGCGGACGGGATGTCCTCCAGGAACACCAGGATCAGCACGTCCTTCCTCTCGTCGAACAAACGGAAACTGTGGACAGAGAGGGAGAAAGGGAGGAAGAGAGGGAGGGATGGGAGAGGCAAGGTGGGTCAAAGAAGGAGAGAGAGAGAAAGAGAGAGAGTGAAAGAGGGCGGGAGGGTTGGAGGCGGAGGGAGAGAAAGAGAGAGGGAGAGGCAGAGACAGAGAGAGAAGAGGGAGGGGGAAGGAAGGAGAAAGTCATAGAGAGAGGGCGTAGTGAAAGAGAGAGAGAGTGAGAAAAAGCGGGAGGGAGAGGAGAGGAAGGGAGAAAGAGTGAGAGAAGAGGGGGAGGGAGGGAGGAAAGGAGAGGGGGGTAGCGAAAGAGAGTTATTTAGGAGGGATGGAGAGAAGAGGAGAGGAGAAAGAGAGAGTGCAACAAAAAGAAGGACGGGGAGGGAGGGAGGAAGAGATGGGGTGGTGAAACAGAGAGAGTGAGAGATGAGGGAGGGATGGAGGAAGGCAGGGAAAGAGGAGGGTTGTGAAAGAGAGAGTGAGAGAAGCAGGGAGGGAGGGAGAGAAGGAGGGAGAGAGGAGAGGAAGGGAAAGAGAAGAAGGGAGGGAGAGGAGAGGAGAGGAAGGAAGAGAGAGAATGAGAAAAGAAGAGAGGGAGGGAGAGAGAGGGTGGTAATGAAAGAAAGGGAGAGTGAGAGAAGGAGGGAGGGAGAGAGAGAGGAAGATGACAAGAAAGAGAGGTAGTGAGAAAGAAAGAAAGAAAGAAAGAGAGAAAGAGAGAAGGAGAGGGACACAGATAGATAGATAGGAGGATAGATAGATAGATAGATAGATAGATAGATAGATAGATAGACTAGATAGATAGATAGATAGATAGATAGATAGATAGATAGATAGATAGACAGACAGATAGATAGATAGATAGATAGATAGATAGATAGATAGATAGATAGATAGATAGATAGATAGATAGATAGATAGATGTGTTTAATGTAAGTGCACAGTGTAATTTTTTCAATGGGAGTTTTGGCACCTGCTCAAACCCATAGAGATACAATTCCTTTACCTGAAATGTTCCACACTATGGCATTAAAACTTATTCTTGCATTTTTTTGGTTTTCTTTTTCTTTTGCTCAGAAATACCTTGAAAAACGTGCATTATTTCTGCGAGCGAGCGTTATTTACTTATCTCAATGGCAAGTAACATTTCCAAAAAAGCATCAGATCTCCATGGAGACAAGCAGGCGGCAGATCCTCAACCAGAAAAGTTACATAGTCCAACTTTAAGTAAAGGAAGAGTAGACATTGACATTGTAAAAGCAGGATATATAAGAGTGCACAAAAGAATTTATAATATATTTTGTAATGAAATAATATAAAATGTATACGCACTCACTCACTTTTTAAATTCAAATAGGTTTACATGTTTTTGGTCAATGAAAAAAAAAAAAAAAAGAAAAAAGAAAAGCAATCAGATTAAAGTTGTGTATTACCTGGCCACCTGCATCTCTTTGGAGCACCACTCGCTCTGTAGATATCGTCTGCTGATCACACACAGAGTCTTCCTGCTTCCATATATGGCATCAGTGATGTTCTCCACTATAGGCCTCCCTGTCGAATAACAAATATCTGTTTACAGTCACTGAAGAGACGGAGGGAGGGAAGAGAGAGAGAGAAGGAGAGAGGAAGGGGCGAAGGAGAGAGAGAGGAAGAGGGGAAGAGAGAGATGGAGAAGGAGACAGAGCGAGCGAGACAAAGAGGCCAGAGAGGGAGCAAGAGAGAGAGAGAGAGATGGATAAATAGATGAGATACAGAGAGAAAGACAGAGAGAAGGAGAGAGAGAGGAAGAGGGGAAGAGAGAGATGGAGAAGGAGACAGAGCGAGCTAGACAAAGAGGCCAGAGAGGAAGCAAGAGAGAGAGAAAGATGGATAAATAGATGAGATACAGAGAGAAAGAAGAGAGAGAGAGAGAGAGAGAGAGAGAGAGAGAGAGAGAGGAGAAGAGAGAGAGAGATGGATAAATAGATGAGATAGAGAGAAAGAGAGAAGAGAGAGGAGAGAGAGAAAGAGAGGAAGAAAGAGAGAGAAGTGAGTGAGTGAGAGAGAAAGAGAGAGATGGATAAATAGATGAGATACAGAGAGAGAAAGAGAGAGAGAGAGAGAGAGAGAGAGAGAGAGAGAGAGAGGTGGATAAATAGATGAGATACAGAGAGAAAGAAAGAGAGAAGAGAGAGAGAGAAGAGAGAGAGAGAGAGAGAGAGAGAGAGAGAGAGAGAGGTGGATAAATAGATGAGATACAGAGAGAAAGAAAGAGAGAGAAGAGAGCGAGAGAGAGAGAGAGAGATAGAGAGAGATAGAGAGAGAAGAGAGAGAGAGAGAGAGAGAGAGAGAGAGAGGAGAGAGAGAGAGAGAGAGGTGGATAAATAGATGAGATACAGAGAGAAAGACAGAGAGAGAAAGAGAGAGGAGAGAGAGAGTGGATAAATAGATGAGATACAGAGAGAAAGAAGAGAGGGAGAGAGAGAGGTGGATAAATAGATGAGATACAGAGAGAAAGAAAGAGAGGAGAGAGAGCGAGAGAGAGAGAGAGAGAATTGGATAAATAGATGAGATACAGAGAGAAAGACAGAGAGAGAAGGAGAGAGGGAGAGAGAGAGGTGGATAAATAGATGAGATACAGAGAGAAAGAAAGAGAGGAGAGAGAGCGAGAGAGAGAGAGAATTGGATAAATAGATGAGATAGAGAGAGAAAGACAGAGAGAGAAGGCGAGAGAGACAGAGAGAGGGAGAGAAAGAGAGAGGAAGGGAAAGAGAGAGAGAGAAGAGGAGAGAGGGAGAGAGAGAGAGGTGGATAAATAGATGAGATACAGAGAGAGAAAGAGAGAGAAGGCGAGAGAGACAGAGAGAGGGAGAGAAAGAGAGAGAAGGGAGAGAGAGAGAGAGAGAAGGAGAGAGGGAGAGAGAGAGAGAGTGGATAAATAGATGAGATACAGAGAGAAAGAAAGAGAGAAGGAGAGAGAGAGAGGTGGATAAATAGATGAGATACAGAGAGAAAGAAAGAGAGGAGAGAGAGCGAGAGAGAGAGAGAGAATTGGATAAATAGATGAGATACAGAGAGAAAGACAGAGAGAGAAGGAGAGAGGGAGAGAGAGAGAGAGAGGTGGATAAATAGATGAGATACAGAGAGAAAGAAAGAGAGAAGGAGAGAGAGAGAGGTGGATAAATAGATGAGATACAGAGAGAAAGAAAGAGGAGAGAGAGCGAGAGAGAGAGAGAATTGGATAAATAGATGAGATAGAGAGAGAAAGACAGAGAGAGAAGGCGAGAGAGACAGAGAGAGGGAGAGAAAGAGAGGAAGGGAAAGAGAGAGAGAGAGAAGGAGAGAGGGGGAGAGAGAGAGAGAGAGAGAGGAAGGGGCAAAGGGGGGAAGAGAGCGAGAAGGAGAGGGAGACAGAGAGCGAAAAAGAAAATAAAGAGAGCAAAAGAAAGAGAGGCAGAGGGATAGTCAGAGAAAGAAAGGCCAGCGAGGGAGAGAGAGAGGGAGGGAGAGAGAAAGAGAGAGAAAGAAAGAGAGAAAGAAAGAGAGAGAGAGAGAGAGAGAGAGAAAGATGGATTAATAGATGAGATACAGAGAGAAAGACAGAGAGAGGAGAGAGAGAAGGAGAGAGAGAGAGAGAGAGAAAGAGAGAGAGAGAGAAAAATGAGATGAGATAGATGTGATAGAGGGGAGAGAGAGAAAGAGAGAGGGAGAGAGATGGATAGATAGATGCAATATAGAGAGAAAGACAGAGAGTGAAAGAATGAGAGAGGGAGAGAGAGAGAGAGAGAAGGGTGTGCAGAGAGGAAGAGAGAGAGAGATGGATAAATAGATGAGATCGAGAAAGAGAAAAAATGAGAGAGGAGAGAGATAGAAAGAGAGGGGGAGAGAGAGAAAGATGAATAAATAGATGCAAAAATAGAAAGAAAGAAAGAAAGAAAGAAAGAAAGAGAAAGGGGCAGAGAGGGAGGGAGAGAGATGGATAAATAAATGTGATATAGAGAGAAAGAATGAGAGAGGAGAGAGCTAGAGAGAGAAAGGGGGGCAAAGAGGGAGAGAGAGAAGAAAGATGGATAAATAGATGAGATACAGACAGAAAGACAGAGAGAGAAGGAGAGAGAGATATGCAATAGAGGGGAAAGAGAGAGAAAGAGAGGCAGAGGGATAGTGAGAGAAAGGGGTCCAGAGAGGTAGAGAGAGAGGGTGAGAGAGTGAGAGAGAGAGAGTGAGAAAGATGGATAAATAGATGAGATAGAGAGAGAAAAACAGAAAGAGAAGCAGAGAGGGAGGGAGAGGGGGGGTGGAGAGATAGATGAGATGTGATCGAGGGGAAAAGAGAGAAGGAGAGAGAGCGAGAGAGAGAAAGAGAGTGAGAGAAAGAGATGCACAGGGGTAGAGAGAGAAAAGAGGGCCAGAGAGGGAGAGAGATGGACAAATAGATGAGCTAGAGAAAGAAAGACAGACAGAGGAGGTGAGGCAGAAAGAGAGAGAAAGAGAGTGAGAGAAAGAGATGCAGGGGGATAGAGAGAGGAAAGGGGGTCAGAGAGGGAAAGAGAGAAAGATGGATAAATAGATGAGAGAGAGAGAGAGAGAGAGAGAGAGAGAGAGAGAGAGAGAAAGGCAAAAAGAGAAGGAGAGACAGAGAGAGAGAGAGAAAGAGGGGGACAGATGGATAGATAGATGAAATAGAGGGGGAGAGAGAGACTGGAGAGGGAGAGAGAAGGAGCGAGAAAATGTGAGAAAGAGAGGGAAAGAGAGAAAGATGGAAAGATGAGATAGAGACAGACAGAGAGAAAAAAAAGAGAGAGATTTGAGAGAGATTTTGTGATATTCTCCTCTATAAAAATATAAATATATAAATATAATATATATTAAATATATTTATGCTTACACTTACTAATGACATAACTAATGAGACTGTGGCGCCCCTTAGAGGACAAACTACAGAACTGCAGCCACAGATAAGATCTCTTGAACAGGAAGCAAGTGGCATGTATATTTTCCATTTTACCCTTGATCAGCTTAGATTCTTCATGTTTTGGCTTAAAAGTAACAGTGGCACAATTTTGGGCGTTTTCATTTCCTCATTTTATGCCAAATTTGTTTTGAGAGAAACTGTTAAAAGTGAAATGAGAAACCAAAATGAGAAGTTAAAAAATGCAAATCGCTAAAGCCTAAAACCACAAAGACCAAACCAGAAATGTTTTGTTATAACTGAAAATGGTTAATTTAAGTGCTTCATTTTTGTTGTTTTGTTGTGAAAATGCTAAATACTTGTCTTTTTTTTTTTTTTTTTTTTTTTTTTGACTGTGTGTATGTTGTTTTAATAGCAGTACACCATTCTTTTTTTGGGCATTTTTTTTTTTGGCAATTTTAGTGTTAACTAATGGTGGATGAAGGTCTCAGTGTTTTTTTAAATTCCACTTTAATTATTCCGTATTTATTAATTTGTAATTCAATTATTCTCCTTTCTAGTTTACATGGAAATAATAATTATGAATTAAGGTTTACATGGGAAACACGTTAAATCTGCTTTATTTACATCTGTCTGTGGTGGGGAAGGGTTCTGATTGGACAGAGACGTGAACGTATTTACGTCAACCGGAAGAAAACACACACTTGAGCTGCTGCCAGCTTTTTAGTCATCTTGATTTGTTGTTTCCCGTGGGGATGTGTACCGCTGTTCCTCAGTTTTTATGGGCGGGGGAACAGTCCGAACCCAGACTTCTGAACCAGCGGGAGCAGCTCCGATTGAGCTGGACCGGGGAGTGGTGTTAGGGGCCTCGGCCTGAGAAGCACTTTCCCCGGGGAAGAACTAAGAGCGCGGAGGACGGACGCTCAGAACAAGATATAATGAACCAAACGGGATTCACGCTAATTTCTGGATGTTTTGCACCACCTCGGAACCAGTCGCAGCCCTGGAGCACGGAGGACAGGAGCAGCCCGCCCTCACCTGTAGTCCACAGCGCATTCTCACTTTCGCCGCACGAATCCACTGGTCTTGCTCGCCCCCGTCTGGACCCAGCACATGGAGGACAGAACCTGTGGATCTGACCAACCCGCTCGGAGAATCGCAAAAGACCACGGAGGGGCTGCGCGCTATGGTGAGTGCTCCCATGTATATACCGCTGTTACGTAGACTCAGTGCTTCTGCTCCGGGCTGATGTGCGGTGAGTTGTGCAAAATTATTGGCCACATGCTGCTGTTTTATGAGTTTATGACGATAACATGGAATGAGGACGGCTCGCGGTGTGAACAGGGAACTCGGTACCTTTCGCAGTTACACAGGCAAAGAGAAACAGAGATTCAGGGACACAAACATGATACAAACATTTTTCACCATATTGCAGCGCATAGTTGCATCAGATGTGTGATCCAACGCGCATGAGCTGAACGACTGGAATTATTATTTAAGAGGAATAAACGTTTACGTGATCACAGAATAAATGAATTCTGTTTTAAAATCGGAATAAACCAACCAGTTAATCTGGATTTAAATGTAATTCCGAATAAGTTTATTTCTGAATAATCATTAGGAATTAAGTGTTCACATGGTCTTTTTAAAGCAAAATTAATTAGTATTAGGAATTAAATTATTTTGAATGGGAATTAAAGCTCTCATGTAAACGGGGTAAATAACAGCTATTTCTTCCATGTAGTCCACCCTGAAAACACCAGAGGATTGCCTGTGTTTTTTACCTAAAGCTGCACCATGGTAGCCAGGCTGGCACCACCGAGAGCCTCAGCTCAGTTTCATTTCTCTCCAGTGACTAGGTCAGGGATCGAATACACTAGACAGTTTGCAAAAACCCCAGAAGTGTGAGTTTTTAAATGAGAAAAGTACCCTCCTACCATGGAGTGAACGAATCCCAATGCTGCGAGGTCAGATGGTTTGTACGAAGTGAAACCGGGTGATGAATCAGCAAGGCAAGTTCATTTGTAAATAATTCACAGTGATTTACCAAAGAAGAAAGACATTAAAATCACCATAAGGATTGTAATTTGATATATTGTGATGACCCACGATATTATTATGAGACTTTTGACAATACGATATCAGGATAGTTCGCTTATTGTTACATCCCAAACAGGTCCTGTTTAGCAGCTCTGTGTGAAATGTGGTTGTGAGAGCGTGGGAGTGTAGGTGTCAAGTCTTTTTCAGTTTCACAGCACTTAAATGCAGTAGTTTTGGATGAAACTCGAATGTGAAAGAGAATTTGAAACTTTGTCATGTCATGTGAAGCAAACAACTTACAAGATATGTGACAAAAAGGACCACCCAAACAGCTATCCATTTTTAGAACATTATGAGGAAGTCTTTAGTCTTTCACATTTGAGTCCTATCTACTGCATTTCAATAAAAGCACCCAGTCAGAACTCTACAGCTTTTTAACTGTCACAATACTAATGTTTGTTCTGATTTGTTATAATATTCACATGACACAACAACGTACAAAGTTCAAAGTGTAGTTTATTGCACTGAAAAACATGCGTCCTTACTGTGGGCTTGCATCTCCACAAACCTGACTCTTATTTTGTCAAGTTGAGAGCCTCGTCTTGTTTGTTTCTATGGAAATGTTGGCTTAAAACATATCTATCTCCATGGAGACTGAAATATAGTTTTAACTTTCTATTTCCATCGAATCGTGCCCTTCACTTTGGTAAATGGTCACATTTTGATACAGCGCTTCTGCTTTTTCTTTCAAGGCACTCACACACACACACACATTCATACATTATTGTACGCAGACACAAGGGGCGAGGTCGGTTAAGTGTCTTGCCCAAGGACACAACAACAGTATTCATCTGTGGAAGCTAGAATCGCATCGCCAACCTGTGGGTCAGTGGGTCTGCCTGCTCTACCGATTATGTTTTACACAACCCACCAACCTTCTGATCAGTGGACAATAGGGATGTAACAATAACCGAAATATTGTGATATCGTATCGTCAAAGTTCTCACAATAATATCGTGGACCATCACAATATATCGAATTACAAGTCTCTTCACTTAAAAGAGTTAGGGTGCAGCAATAGCTAAAAAAAAGACAGAGAACTATTGTATTTTCCGGGCTATTAGGCGCGCTCTTAAGCCTCTAACCCCATTAAAAAACGACTGCACGCCCCGCAATCCAGGGTGCCCTATACACGAATCCACTCGGGTGTCTCAGCACGACTTCAGTAAACTACAAAGCCGCACCACCCGCAGCGCACGCAAACACGCACACAAACACGCACGGAGCAGACAGTGACCGCGCAGCGAAACACACCCGCAGCCACACTCATCACTCCATGCGGACGAGGAGCGGAACAGAGGAACGAACCGAAAAAGCAAGTCTAATGTGCCTTTCTGAACCACAACTGAACAACTGAGTCACTGCAAACACGCCAACAATCCAGCGGTGCCAGACAGCACCCTCCCAGTGTACCACAACCGAACAAAGCCCAGAGTCACCGTGAACGCGCCAAACAAAGTCCCACTGACCCATCGAACTGTTGTGTTTCATTTAAAGTCCGATGTGGTTTATTTGTGAAAAAAGTTTGAAAATAGACCATTTAATGACAGTGCGTCTTATAATCCAGAGCGCCTAATAGCCTGGAAAATACGGTACATAGATGATAATCCTTTGCTCCATTTCAGTGCAGACTACAAGAAGTAATAACAGTTCTAAGCATTTTTAAGTCTTAGTTTTTTTGGATTAAGTCTTGTCAAGGCATTTTAAGAGGAAAAAGTAGCATATTAACAGTATGAGACTCCCCACCATATCGTGATCTTTCCCACAATATCGCAATAAATATCGTACCATGAGGTCAGGTTCATACCATGGTGATATCGTATCATGAGACTTGGATATTGTTACACCCCTAGTGGAAAAACACACTAAAAAGTTACATGACTATGACTTTAAACATATTTTACCTGGTGCAAAGTCCCGATGGTGCAGACAGAGCTTCCAGCCTTGATCGTTCTCCAGATGTGGGACCAGCTCTCTGTAGACCCAGGCTTCATCATGGACGTTATATGACACAAATGCGTCATACTGATTTGGGGCTTTCCTGTTTTTGTGTTTCGTATTGAGAAGCCAAGCCAAGAGGAGGTAGTAGGCATAGGCTATTTGAAATCTCATGAAATGGTAAATGAACACTATAATCATGAATACCAAGTTAAAACATGTTGTAGATACGAAACAAATAAATGCATAATCTACTATACAAGACTGCACGTTGAGGTCTAGAAGTTTAGTGTTTTTTTTCTGGGGTGGGTAGTAACATTTAAAATTATAAGCGTCAAATACCTGAGTGTGGTTGTTTGTTAAAATCCAGTTGATAAAATCCATGCTGTCACAATTACATGTAAAACTATTATATTGAAAATCTACATATCTAATACTAGGTATAGCCTTGATAATGTCTTCCGTGATGACGGAAAATGCGTTTTTTCGAGCTTGAAGGAAGTCTAGTTTTTTCAGTTTTGCGTTGATCAGGAAATCAAGCGCGCGCAGGTTGGTACTGGTGACTCTAAGTTTTGTAAGATTGCGGATTGGAGCAAATACATAAGGTGAAAAGTCCATTAGATCATTGGCGCTCAAATCCAATGAGTCCAGTTTAGGCGTGTAGTTAAAAAAATTTTCTGGAATGTCGACAATGTTAATATTATCAAAATCGAGCGCTGTTAAGTTGGTCAAACCTTCAAGGAGGTTGGATGGGAGTGCACCTTTTCCTCTGATATGCTGGGAACGGAAATCCAAATTTTCCAAACTTGACAGATACAAAAATGGCGGATTTTTGAGAGGAGAAGAAGTGGTATAGGTGATGCGATTTTTCCCAATGCTTAACTTTCTCAAATTAACCAAACCTTTGAAACAACCGTCCAGTGTGTCACTGCGAATGTCATTTTCATCAAGTTGAAGATTCAGAAGGCTTTTCAAACCAGAAAAACAACCCTTTTCCAATATATGTATGTTATTTTGAGCCAGTGTCAAGTTCTCCAAAGCCGGCAACCCACGAAATTCTTCCTTTTTAATTGTTGCCAGTGAATTATTAAACAAACGCAGTACTTTTAAGCTGGGCAAAGAGGTCTGGAATGCATTGTTAAGTTTTGCAAGGAAGTTCCTGTGCAGCTCCAAAACTTGTAACCTTGGCAAATTTTGAAACACACATTTTTGTAAAGATGTAATTTTGTTCCATTGCAAGCTAAGTTGTTTAAGATAGACCAAATTTGCAAAATCATAACACCCTAAATTCTCAATTGAATTATTTCTAAGGTCTAATTCTTTAAGTGATAATATTGTCCTTATTGCTTGAGGGACTTCGGTTAACTTATTGCGAAAAAGACGTAAAATTTCTAATCGTGAAAGTGGCATAAAAGAGTCATTTGCAATTCCCTTTATTCCGCATATGCTTAGATCAATTTCAGTTATATTTGAGCACGAGCTAAATAAACGTGAACGAATGTGAGGTAAGTTATTTTGACGTAATTGTAATGTAGAAACAGTTGGGATAGAGCAAGATTTGTTTATTAGCGTTGCCAGATTGCAACGTGCTGAATCCACGCGCAGAGAAGTCAAGGAGGTGTTAAAAGTTGATAACAAATCCCACATTTTTTGGCTAGAGTTCACCTGTAATCTGCTAATATCTAGAGTGTCAACGCGAGCGACCATAGCCTTATCTGGAATGTCCCAAAGCATTATGAGCTTCTGTGGTGGATTTCCAATGTTTAACCATGTCAGATTGGGGAAAGCATTTGTGGTTATCTGAAAAAATTTAAGAGGATTGTCAGAAATATCTAACAGTCTCAGTTCAGTGGATTTATTTGCGAATTCAGACGACCTAAAAGACGACATCCGTATGCTTCTAATGGTTAAATCGTTCAAATGTGGCGTGTGTTTTATAATTAAACTTAACTGTTCAGTAGTGGAAACTTTATTTCCAGAGAAGTTCAGAACCTTGAGTTTTCTAAGTGGTCTAAAAGCATTGGGTTCGATTATTGTGATATGATTGTAAGTTATCAGCAGCTCTGTCAGATTCCCCAAACCGTCAAAAACGCCATTGACAAGTGTGGTAAGCTTGTTCCTGTTCAAAACTAACTTTCTGAGGGAGATTAAATGTGAAAATGCACCTTTTTCAATACTAGAAATTTGGTTGTTCCCTAGTTTTAGCTCAGTTACATTTGGAAAATTTATGAAATTTGTTACTTGTATTTTGGAAATTTTGTTGCCGGTCAAGTCAATGCCTCTCACTGTTGGAGGAATATCTGTAGGGACCTGTGCGAGATTACCACTGTCACAAATAGACACATTCAGACTGATTCGACAATCCCTCAGCGCAAAGCCTTGTACCACAAAACTCTGAATATTTAACAGCAAGAGAAAAATTTGAATTTTTTGAAGTGATTTTTGGTATTCATGACCCATTTCTGAGAAGTAGCAGTGTCACCAAACACCCACTTAAATCGAAAACCGGTGCTAAAAACAAAGCAGAAAGAATACAGTAAGAGGAATTATAAATACAGCATATTTGCATGAACTCAAAAATGAAAGTGCACAATTTAATGTGTAAGATTTAAGATGAGGGGTCCATATGGAAGATATTTGTTTCATCAGATTTTGAATTTTAAATGTTGTTGAATTTCTCACTTAACTCTGAAAAAACATGTTTCAATTATTTTTATTTAGAATTTTATCTGAAATTTTAAAGCTGAAATTTTAAGTGTACATTTTCAAAGTGTTTAAAAAAAAAAAAAAAAAAAAAAAAAAATATATATATATATATATATATATATATATATATATATATATATATATGAAAATAAAAATATTCAGCACAAATATTTTCAAGCTGTACAACAAGGCCTAAGCAATTGATCCAAAGTGATCCGACCAACAAACACGGAGTGGTGCAGTGAAGTGATTTGATCGGTCAGAATTAGCCTCATCAAAACCTCATCTCTTTTATTTCTTAAGTGTAAACAGTTAAAAATGTCCAGCAGGCAGAGGTGGGACCAAGTAAATTTTTTGTAAGTCTCAAGTAAGTCTCAAGTCTTTGACCTCAAGTCCGAGTGAAATCCCAAGTCAAATACAGGCAAGTCCAAGTCGAGTCTCGAGTCACTGGCCCATAAATCCAAGTCAAGTCCAAGCTGTCTGCTTTGAGCTTCAAGACATTTCAAGTCTTTAAACCAAAATACCAAATATAGCTTAGATGTGTGCTATTCATATGAATTTTAAACTAAATAGTACTTAAAAAGTCATGGTATATTGATATATGATTATTTATAGAAGGGTTGTAGAAATGCAATTTTTTCCTTTTTATGTCTTGACAAGATCTTGGTGTGAATCTTTATGGTCAGAATAAAAAGAATTCAGAAGTGCTAAAGAAGTAATTCTGTCATGTAGTTCTCTGTAGTTCTGTCTGTTTTACTGTATTGTACTGTATATTACTGCATAGTACTGTGTATTACTGTAGTACATTTCAGGATACCACATCACAGCGCTGCATTTATCAACTGTAAAGAGAAAAGTATTTTCTAAAAACATATATATATTTTAGGAGAAGCATTGAGTCTTCTCAAGTCACTGGACTCAAGTCTGAATCAAGTCCCAAGTCTTTGTCATTTTGTCAAGTCTCAAGTCCTAAAATAGTGACTCAAGTCTGACTCGAGTCCAAGTCACTACTTGCAAGTTCCCACTTCTGATAATAGGAAACAGCTTCTCTCCTCACTCACACATGATCAGTTTAAAAAAATAAATAAAAATACACTTGAAAACTTGAAAATTACACTTTGAATTTTGACTGTTGAATTTGAGGGCTTGAAAATATATGTGGTGAAATTGTTTTTTTTTTTTTTAACATATTGAAAATGTACACTTAAAATTTCAGCAACTAAAATACATATAAAAAATCTAAATAATTCAAACATGATTTTTCAGAGTTAAAAAAATCAAAGTGAGAAATTCAGTGGTATTTAAAATTCAAAATCTGATGGAACAAATAATCTTTCATAGGTCCACCACCTGCTTATCTCCATGGTTACTGCTTTACTTGAATATTTCACAGTATAGCTCTGTCACATTTTTATGTAGCACTTTTCCACCTTCAAGGCACTTTTGTAAACATTGGGGGCAAGGATCGTTAAGTGTCTTGCCCCGAGGATCAAAACATTTGTTGTGGGAGCTCCACAGCTCTGACTGATATCTTGTCCTAATTGCAGCTTCTTCTGGTTTCCATAGAGATATATACATTTAGTCCCATACTGTTGAGCAGTACAAGCAATACCAAGTTTAAAGGATCAGAAAAGTTACACAGTACATCTTTAACCCTCCTGCACCCCCGGGTGCATTTTTATACATCTCAACTTTTCTTTTTTGCCTAACTTTGGCAATATTGCACCAAATAGCACCAAAATTGGCCAGTTTCTGTATTTTGTGTGTGTGTGTATTTTTAATTTCTGTTTTTTGTTTCAAGATCACATTCATTGAATGGTCTATAATCAAAATAATCACACCTGTGGTCCTTCGGTACATTTTTGTCCCATTGACTTCCGTTCAAAATGACTTTGCCACCGTATTTTTACATTTTGATTAATTTTTCATTCTTTGGTGTTGAAAACTCTTCAAAATGTTTAGTTTTAGTGTCTTTTTGAACTTTTTTTTTTTTTTAAATTCCCTTTTCACTCTGTATCTTCCTTTTTTCTTCCTTCCTTCCTTTTTTTATTTTTATTTTAACTGCTACAAAAACAAAACATAGACCACAACTACATGGATCATGACAGAAAGGGTCCAAGCTTCAACTTCACTCACTGTACATATAAGAGACAAAATTATCTATTAAAACAAACAAAACTGAATGCATAATTCATTAATTCCAAAGTTCTACACTTTATACTCTTTTTGTTTTAAAGGCTTCTACCGCTTCTACTCCCGTTCCACAAAGTAACCCCTCTACCAGAAACACAATCACTTTCTTCCATTTTCTTATCTTCATTTTTTAAAAGAGTGTCTGTATCTGTGTATCTTCCATTGCAAGATTATGTCAATAGAAAGCCGTTTGTATTTGGTTTGTATGATTAGAGATGAAGTAAATGAAGACAAAGATATAAAAAAGTTGAACACAAATCTGTACTGCATAAAAATATTGTGGTATTCTTTGTCGATTTTTGTCACGAAGGACCACGGGTATAACTATTTGAGTTTGTGCAAAAACTAAAAGAATGTAAAAATCAGTGTTGGCACTTTTTTATGACTCTCTGATAACCCCAACACAAACAAATTAAAATGATTTGAAAAATATAGAAATAATCCATCTCTTTCACTTTTTTCATGCACAAAAATTTTTGACTTTTGCTGTCAAAAATGGCATTTGAAGTGTTAAAATTTCAAAATATTATATCATATTTTGTATGTATGATTAGAGCAAAAAGTAAATAAAGACACTGATATAAAAAAAAAGTTGGACAAAAATCTGCACTGCATAAAAATATTGTGGTATTCTTTTGTCACGAAGGACCACAGGTGTAACTATTTTTAAAGGGGTGCACAAGGGTTAAATAAATACAAAATTGTGCAAAATTCTTTCAATCAGCTGGCAGATTTTTAAACCAGATGCCCTTACTGTCACAGCCAATTTAATGGTTTTAAACTAGAGAAGCAGCAGTAGCAGTAGTTGTAGTAGTAGCAAACACAGCACATATTAGCACTGGAATGTTATACTCACTTTTTTCTGCTTTTTTCCTGTGCCTGGTCTCTTCGGTCTCTAGTGTCAGCTTCATACACCCGAATGACTTATGGACACATTTTAAGGAAGTGAAACAAAAACGATGCATGTTGATAGGAAAAATTCACTGCTTTATGAGGTTATTGTTACCATGCAAGCAAATATAACTATAAAACCGAAGATAGACAGATAGATGACATTTAGTTTCGGGTTAATCAGAGACTCATTTTGCAAATATTGATTTTGAATGCATTAGTTCGATAAATTGCAACCCAGTAGTGCAGCATGAGATGTTTGTGGTTGGACCCCACTTCCTGCCATGTTTGTCTGCTAGTGTCTGAAGTGATTTAAGAAAGACACTCTGGAACTTTCTTTTCATTTTCATTGTAGTCTTGAACACTGCGGTTGCCATTTGAACATTTTTAGCTAAGAGTGAATGTCCGTCATGGGGCAAAAATCTTCTTTAATTTTATATGTAACTTTTCAGGTGGAGGGTCCATCACCTTCTTGTTTCTATGGATACGTCATTGCTCTGCCTGGAATGTTCCACTGTATGACATTATACACCTTACATTTATTCAATTACATGGCTTTATATCTCAAAAATACCTAGAAAAACAAACATTCTGACTGTGAGCCGGTTGCCTCTCCACAGATCTGACCTGTAACTTGGTCTGGTTTGGTCTCCTATGAAGATAGAAGGGTTTATTTAATGCCATACTGTGAAACATTCCAGACAAAGCAATAACATCTCTATGGAGTCTATGGAGAATAGCATTGGGCAGACCCTATAATAACCCAATAATGTGAGTTCCTTTAGTTGACCACAATTTTTATCTAACTTCCTCTTGGCCCTAAAGGAATAAGAAGTTAGAAGTTCCCATTTTTTGTTTGAGACTTTTTTATTTTTTTTTTATTTTTGGAGGATATCATATACAAGAGAAGTTACATGTTGTTTGCAATGAGTTGAATTATTTGATTTATTTCTTAATTTATTTATTTTATTCGCAAAAATGATCAACTGTGTCATAAATTTGTGCAAGAAATGAATGAAAAGATGCAGAAAGATGAGAAATCCTTTGTCATCTGCTCTGCTTTTAGCATGTAAGTCTAGATTTGTCAGTATCGAAAATCTGATGCTAAGCCAGAAGTCTCCAACCTGTAGCTCTCCACCCACTTCCAAGTAGCTCGCCAAGGCATTACTGAATTACACTTATTGTGCTGAATAAGTCAAATTTGATTAATTAAATGCCTTTACCATTGTACATGTATCATTTTGATGCCTAACTTTGTTCACTAACTAATAAATGGATAATGGTTAATGTTTTATAGGCGTTTAACTCAGGGTGACCAAATATTTAAAATCATAAACTGGGACAATCCTGGTTTGGGGTGGTTGGAAATAATAAAATTGTGAAACGAGTGCATAATTAATGAAAACATTTCTGCAATTGGCCCATTCATGACTAGCCACATTTTCTTTGTTTTTGGTCATTTTTAAGCAGCTTTTCTGTATTTAACCTTAAACAAATGACAGTTTATTCCTCGCTTTACTGTTGGCAGGGATCAAATTGGTCAAAATAGGGGCACCTGGGACATTTCTTGTATATAAAACTGGGACAAATCACTGGACAGAGGACACAGGGCTCAAAACTGGGACTGTCCAGAATAAACAGAGACGTCTGGTCACCCTAATCTAACTGTAATTTACCTAAGGCTTGCTGTGGCTCTTTTATATACAAAATTTCTTGTGACCATTAAAACTAGTAGACTAGTAGCTCTCTGTCACTTTTGTTTTGTAAAGGTAGCTCACCGGAAGAAAAAGGTTGGAGACCCCTGTACTAAGCAATACTAAAACTAGTATCGAGATTAGACTATTTATTTGAGCAGGTATCAATACTAAAGAAGTCACATTCACAGAACTGTATCAGAACAAGTATAAGAGCACACAGACTAGTATACGGACCACTACTAAACGTACCTGGACCACTGAGGGATTACACAGATGTAAGACTACAGGGTAATATATAAGAAAGTACTGTGTTATACAATGTTAAAAGTAGTATTATATAGTGTAAATAAAGCATGTTTTTTATTATCATCGTGGCATCAGAATTGAGTATTGAGTCTATTCTTTAGTATTGAAATATTAGTATACTGACAAAACTAGTTTCAGATTGACTCTACGTCAGTAACGACTATGGCCACTAGAGGGCTCTGTTTCGTTAGATATACTGAATGTGGATTTATCAGATCGGGTAAAATTTCATGATCCACCTACAAGCAACCTGCCACAGACTGCTTAATGAACACAAAAATACACTTCTCTTTTGGTATGAATGTAAAATATGATTACACAGAAAATCTGGTCTTTAAAGGGTGATTTTACGCTGTTTTCTAACCTATGTTATGATGTTTCTTCACCAAAAACATGGAGTTGTGTTTTGTTTTATTCACATGTTTAACTCACAAATCCTGCATATTTAGGCTGAGCTCTTCCCTCAAACTGAAAACACTCTTTTCCACCTTGTGATGTCATGTGGTAATACAGGAAGTGCTCCACTGTGTTTTTAAACTATACATGATCACTACACACACGTTTGGATGATTTCAGCCCTGGAATTGCCAATGTCCACTGAACAAAATGTAAAAGGTAGCTGTTAACTTGAACACTACTGCTTTGTGACATCACAAGGTGGAACAGAGCATTTTCAATCTGTTCCTAGAATCAAACCCATTACCTTATTGTTGTGAGGTGAGTGTCTGAACCACTGCACCTTCTATAAGATTATACATTTTTTTGGGATGTGCTGTTATTTTACTTTAACACTGTGTACGCTTTCAGGTGGAAAAGTAGTGGATACGCCATCTGTTTGTCTCCATGGATACGTTGTTGTTTTCCATAATAAGTTTATAATATGGCATTAAAGGTACAATATCTATCTCCAAAACATCCCAATCCAATCTCCATGGAAACAGATGATGATTCCAGACCAAGTTACAGGTCAGGTCTGTGGAGAGCTGACCCCGCTCACAGTAAAAATGCATGTTTTAGAACATTGTTTCCCATAGACTGGGTCGGGACCCTCAGGTGGGTCGCAAGAGGTTTTTTTGGGGTCGCCTTGTCACGATCTGCATATCGGTCAATTGAATGTTGAAAAGAAAAGGAAATGGGCTACATTAAATGCCCAAATAGGCGACTTATGGATCCTTTTATTGCTGGTTCAGTTATTATTTTTCATGGTTCAGAGATACACGATCACTCAGTCAACAATTAAATATCCTCATTAATGTTCAATAACGGTCAAATCCACCTTTATTTTGTGATTTATGAATAATGTCTATTGACTTGGGTTGCGAAGGTTTTTAACTTTTAAAATATGGGTCCCCAGAAAATAAAAATAAAAATTGGGAAACACTGTTTTAGATGGTATTTTTGAGCATTAAAAAACTTTATAAATCAATGCAAGATATATTGGTGAATGTCACACTGTGGAACTTTCCAGGCATCTCCATGGGGACAGGCAAGTGGAGAATTCTAACCAGAAAACTTACATAATGCATCTTTAAATATAAATCCAGCTGTATTTCTTGTGTAAAATGGCCTGGCTTGTACATTTTTTTTAAAAGTTATGAACACTCACGACCAACTTTTGTATTTCATTTCAGATTTCTACTTTGCTTCTCACTTGAACCATCATAACGGCAAAGACCCTATAGGCTACTTCCACATCGTGCTCTACAGTTGAATGTCTCTATGCTGGATAATGGCAGGTGCAGACAGGAGCAGCTTGGTGCCTCTTGTCCGTGAAGCACCAATCCTGTTCCCATCGGGGGAGTCATTTTCCGCAGTTCGAAAGCTCAAGATTCAAGCCGTTTTCTCACTCATCAAACCTCCACCGATTCTTAGAGGTCTGTGGATAATGGAACTGACCACAAAGGACTATGACATTTTCAACTGCAAGCAGGTAGCAAACATAGTGTACTGAAAGGTCCGACTGTATATAAGACAAAATGGAGCCTTGTGAGCTTTAAGTCATGTTGTAACTTCATCAAAAAATATACCCAGAGTTGTATTTTGTTTCATTCACACATGTTTGAGTAAACTTATTATTACTTCACCTCGTGGAAACCGTCTGACCTCGCAGCATTAGGATTCGTTCGCTTGACTGTAGGTGGGTACTTTTTTTATTTAACCAGTCGCTGCTATTTGATCGTGACATATGTAAAGTGGTAAATCCTGTAGGAAGAAGGGCAATAACGTTTGTCCCCTTGCTAAAATTCACCAAACATTCTCGTTTCGGTTTTTAATCCTCAATCTCGTGAATTAGTGCCAACACAGAATGTATGGCTTCTAGGGATGTAACATTAACCAAAATATTGTAATATCGTATCGTCAAAAGTCTCTCAGTAATATCGTGGACCATCACAATATATCAAATCACAAATTTCTTTGCTTAAATTGTTATGGTGCAGAAATAGCTAAAAAAATAAAATAAAATAAAATAAACAGAGAGACCTACCTAGGCCATGGCTCTTTGCTCAGTTTCAGTGCAGACTACAAGAAGAAATAACAGTTCTTAAGCACTGTTAAGTCTTAGTTCTTTGGATTGAGTCTTGTCAAGGCATTTTAAGAGGAAAAAGTAGCATATTAACAGTTTTAGCTGTTCAGCCTCCACAAAATATCTCAATAAATATCGAACCATGAGATGTATATTGTGAAAATATTATACAGAGAGATTTGGATATCGTTACATCCCTAATCGTGAGACTTTCCACCATATCGTACCGTGAGGTTCATACCGTGACGATATGATATCATGAGACTTGGATATAGTTACACCTCTAATGGCTTCGCCTACATCCATCTCAACCGCTTTGTTTATTGTTGTGCTGTACCACAAAAGGGACCCAGGCGCTCCACAGCTCTTCACTGGTTGGTCTACAACTTTCGGGGCTCTTGCAAACCGTCTAGTGTATTCCGATTCCTGACCTAGTTGCTGGAGAGAAATGAAATTGAGCGGAGGCACTAGGTGGCAGCAACCTGGCTATTTATTACTATATCTCAGCTCAAAATGTTCTGCTCCAACTTGTGATGCCAAATTTTGTGGTAGTTTTCAAGTTAACAGCTATGTTTTATGTTTAGTTTAATAGAGATTGGGCTGAGATCATCCAAATGATTCAAGTGAAGGTGGATGAAGGTTAAAAACATAGTAGGGCACCTCCTGTATTACCACATGACTTCATAAGGTGGAGTGTTTTCTGTTTGAGAGAAGTACACACTCTGAATATGCAGAGTTTTGTCTTAAACATGAATGAAACAGAACGCAACTCCAGGTATGTTTTTGAACAGGAACATAGATCAGAAAATGAAATGGGAGAAACTAAAATGATCAGAATTATACTTTTGTGTTCTAATACAGTTCTGAAGATACAGTATGTTATCACCAGAAAGTTGATGGTGCAATTACAAGTCCAACTACTGACTTCAAACTGCTGGTGTGTCCTTTGGCAAGATACTCCCATGATGATTGCTGCACAATCACTGGAGCACTTTAAATCTTTGCTCAAAACTCACTTTTTCTCCTTGGCATTTGCCCAGAGTTATGAAGAGACACCTTGGCACCTTGCTGTTGTTATTATTTTCATTTTTTATCATGATTATTCTGGTTGATTTGCCTATTGTATGTTTTATTTCACTGTGCAGCACTTTGGTAAGCTTTGACTGTTTTAAACAAATTTGATTTGATTTAGATTGGCAAACAGCCTCTAGTGTGGGGAGTGAGTGTTAAAATATTAATTACAATTTTGGATAAATGGATAAATATATGGGCTGAGTGTTTGTCCACTGATCCAAAAGTTAGCGGTGTGATTCCAGCTCCCACAGAAGAATTATTGTGTTCATGGGCAAGACACTTAACCCACCTCACCCCCAGTGTCTGCGTACACTCAGGTATGAATGTTTGTGTGAATGGGTGAGTGGTTCCTTGATGTAAAGCACATTGAGTGGTGGAAAAGCGCTGTATAAAAATGTGACCATGACAATAAATGACCAGAATAAGGAGAGGTATCTGATATAAGGGGTTTTCATATAACTTTTTGGAACTGTTTTGCATCCCACGTCGCTCCGAGTGTCTGCGTACACTCAGGTATGAATGTTTGTGTGAATGGGTGAGTGGTTCCTTGATGTAAAATGCTCTAAGTGGTGGAAAAGTGCTGTATAAAAATGTGGCCATGACCATAAATGATTCTAGCCTGATTCATCAGTCGCTTTCACTTCGTGGAAACCGTCTGACCTCATTAGAATTTGTTCGCTCGACTGTAGGTGGGTACTTTTTTAATTTAACCAATCGCTGCTATTTGGTTGTGATGTATGTAATGCACCACTAACGGGGCGAGCTGGTATATTAAGCTTTTCCCAAATCCTGTAGGAAGAAGGGCAATAACGTCTTTCCCGTTGATAAAATTCACCAAACATTCTCTTTGTTCTGGCTTTAAATCCTTGATCTTGGGAATCGTTGCCAACGCAGAATATATGGCTCTTCACTGACTGGCTGGTGCCTGGACTCGCACTTCCAGGGTTTTTGTGTAATCCAATTCCTGGCCTAGTCGCTGGAGAGAAATGAAATTGAGCGGAGGAAGCCAGCCAGGCTATAAATGACCATAATATGGAAAGGTATCTGATATAAGGTGTGTTCACATAACTTTTTGGTACTTTTTGGCATGTTTCTTTATTATTATTAGCTTATACTGTGGCAAAACTCACACAGAAGTTGCTAAAAAGGTGAATTCAACAAAACGAAAAGCCATGTTGATGTTCTTGTGATTTTTTATTTTTTTTTGCATACCAATCTTTGCTATACTCCTCGCCAATTTACTTTGAAATATCAGGAGTCACTGAAATGAGTTGGGAAAAAACACCACTATTAAACCCATTTACGTTTCCAAGTCGAGCGCAAAGTGAAACGGGACCTTTTACGCCTCCTGAACGTAGGTCCCCCGGGGGTTTCACGTCCCGACCCAAACGTGTACGCGCCAATTAATCATTTAAGCGCGCGCGCATTGAGCATTTGGCTGCCTTTAGTTTGTCCCACACTCCCAGATGCTTTCACTCCAAAAAGGGACCGTATTATGGACGCGGGAAGCCACCCACCCACCGACCCGGCGCGCGCATCGACGAGTTAATCACGTTGGGAGAGAGAAAGAGAGAAAGAGAGAGGGAGAGTTGCGCTATCTCTCCTCTCCTCCTCTGCTTGCTCCTGCTATGCCATACACCTACACACGTTACGGTCGCATACGGAGCATTACCGGGGAATTGGCACTAGTAGAAGCGAAAGCAAGACACATCGACTATTGAAATTCCCATGTCACTACCGAGAAATTTAGGATTTACGTCTAGGGGAACGTGCCGGACCGGTCCATGTCGCAACAGCCCTCCGGTCACGCTGCGTTAGATGCGATTAGGTTTTTATCTATAGAGCGGAGAAGTCACCTGGTCGCGTAAGGAGAGGAGGAGAAGAGGAAGAGGAGAGAAGCCCGAGGATCGGAGAGGTACTGGGGGGGGGCTTGAGGTGAAGAAGTCTCCCGGTAAAACAACAAAACAAGGGGCGTTTCTGGTTGGACTCGGACTCGGCGTAAAGTTTTTCCTCGATGGCGCTGGTGATGGAGCCGGTCAGCAAATGGAGCACGAGCCAAGTGGTGGACTGGATGAAAGGTAAGGAGAAAGGCCAAGGAAGTACACAGGCAAACGTTTAATTACGCGCAAACTGACAGGCAAAAGTCGTTATGATTGATTGGTGATTGATTGATCGGTGTCGTGCAGTGAGAGAAGTGATACAGCGGAGACTGAAGATGCTCCGGTGGGTTTGTTGCTTAGATACGATTTCATAGCGTGGACACGACGTATGCAGTTTCCTTTGCTGTATATGGATCTTGGTAATTTCTTAAGAGCTAATTGATTAGGGGTTTTCCGATGTGTTCAACTTAAAGGGCCTATATTGATCTATTTTCTGATCTGTGTTTTGATGTTTCTTTATCAAAAACGTACCCAGAGTTGAGTTTTGTTTCATTCACACATGTTTTAACACAAAAATCCTGCATATTTAGGCTTTTAGTTTCTTGTTTAGTAAAGTAGAGAGCTGAAATTATCCAGTTGATTCTAGTGTATGGAGTGTAAAAACACAGTGGAGCACTTCCCGTATTACCACATGACATCACAAGGTGGAACAGAGTGAGAGAGCTAAATACTAGGGGTGTAAGAAAAAGTCGATTCAGTGATATATTGTGATACTTCATGGCACAGTTCTCGAATTGATTCAAAATGCATCCAAATTGATTTTTTAAATAATATTTTTCACAAAAATTCATTATTTGCATTCACTGTTCTGATGATTTAAACATTTTTATAAATCATATTTCATACAAGTGCGTTCTCGTGAAGGTGCAGTTGACTGTATTAATAGGGGTGTAACGATATCCAAGTGTCACGATACGATATAGTCACGGTATGAACCTCAAGGTACGATATTTACTGCAATATCGTGGGAAAGCTCACGATGTGGTGGGGAGGCTCATAATTAGGGATGTAACAATATCCAAATCTCTCAGTACAATATTTTCACGACAAACATCTCATGGTACGATATTTCTTGCGATATTTTGTGGAGGCTAATATGCTCCTTTTTCCTCTTAAAATGCCTTGACAAGATTTAATCCAAAGAACTAAGACTTAAAAGTGCTTAGAACTGTTATTTCTTCTTGTAGTCTACACTGAAATGGAGCAAAGGATCATGGTCTATGTAGTTCCCTCTGTCTTTTTTTAGCTATTGCTGCACCATAACTCTTAATTTAAGCAAAGAGATTTGTAATTCAATATATTGTGATGATCCATGATATTATTGTGAGAACTCTGATGATACGATATGACGATATTTTGGTTATTGTTATATCCCTAGTATTAAAAGAAGTAATTATTGATAAATTGCAATATATCATCCTATGTTTTAGTATTGGGATACTTTGGGATATATTGAATCGTGACATGCATATGATATTGTATCGTCAGACTCAAGACAATGCACACCCCTACTAAATACGCAGGCTTTGTGTGTTAAACATGTGTGAATGAAACAAAACACAACTCCAGATATGTTTGTGATGATGAAACATTATAACATAGATCAGAAAATAGCCTAATATGCGCCCTTTAAGACAGGAATAAGCCTGAAGTTTGTAGACTAATTATAATGTTTTTATTTTGTTATTGTAAGTAAAAGTCTTATTTTGTATAGTGCTTTGTTCATGTGGCATTTGTGTTTCAAGATAAAATGAGCAGTTATATTCTTAAGTGTAGTGCTTAGAGTGGTAACATATAGTTTGGGAAGCTTTGAAGGTGAATCATACATTCCATAATAAATAGGCTTAAATGTTGGATATCCTGTTACTTCAACTCCAAATTACAATTGTAGACTATATCATCGTAAAGAACATCTGCTTTGGGACTGAAGTGTATTGCCCAAGGACACAACAATGATGTGTCATGCAGGTAGCAGGAAATGAACCAGCATCCTTTAAGTTATAGTGCAAACATATTTACTGACTATATTCTACCACCCAAAATCACAATGTTGTCATTTGTTTTTTTTGTTTTTTTTTAGATCTGTTAATTTAAAGGGCCCATATTACGTTATTTTCTGGTTTATGTTTTAATCCTACATCCTGATTTCTTCTCTCAAACTAAAACACTCTGTTCCACTTTGTGATGTCATGTGGTAATACAGGAAGTGCTCCACTGTGTTTTTAAACTCCACACACCTTCACTAGAATCACTCGGATGATTTCAGACCTGGAATTATCAATCTCTACCGAACAAAAGATAAAGCAGTTTGTACTGTCCTCACTGAGACGTTAGCAGTTCCAGCTTGACAGCGAGCTAAACTCTGATTCAGTGATGATAACAACATCTCTTTAACTTACAATTTAGATTTTTAAGTAATTTATACACCCATAAATTACCCAAATTAAATGTACAAACGTATACATACAGGCGTTTGATTTTTAGTGGTATGAGTCCATTTTGTTAGCCAGACTGGCGCCACCTCATTTCATTGACTCCTGATATTTCAAAGTAAATTGGCGAGGAGTATAGCAAAGATTGGTATGCAAAAAATAAATAAAAAAAAATCACCCAAACATGGCATTTCGTTTCGTTGAATTCACCATTTTAGCAACTTCTGTGTGATTTTTGCCACAGTATAGGCTAATAATAACAAAGAATCATGCAAAAAAGTACAAAAGTTTATGTGAACACACCTTATATAAGATACCTTTCCATATCTTGGTCATTTATAGCCAGGCTGGCTTCCTCCGCTCAATTTCATTTCTCTCCAGCAGCTAGGTCAGGAATCAGAATACACTAGATGGTTTGCGCACCAGCCAACCAGGGAAGAGCCATATATTCTGTGTTGTCAACGATTCCTGAGATCAAGGATTTAAAACTGGAATAAAGAGAATGTTTGGTGAATTTTATCAAGGGGGAAAACGTTATTGTCCTTCTTCCTATGGGATTTGGGAAAAGTTTAATATACCAGTTAGCTCTGTTAGCGGCAAATTACATACGTCACGACCAAATAGCGATTGGTTAAATAAAAAAGTACCCGCCTACTGTCGAGCAAACTAATTTTAACACTGCGAGGTCAGACAGTTTCCACAAAGTGAAACCGGCTGATTGAATTTTGTTGCCTCTTGTTGCCAACTTGCGTTCTTGTGTCTCTCGCGAATTTTCAACCTTCTAGTTCTATGGACTGGTGTGGGGTTCCAAAATAAAAGCACAGATTTCAAAATAAAACCATATGCATTAAAATGAACTAAATAACATCTGAAAGAGAGAAACAAATTTACAATGCGATGCAGATAGACAAATAATAAAGGATTACTCAAATGTGTGAATTGAAAAAAAAACAAAAAACAACTACAGATATGGTTTAGGGGAAGTAATAGCATTATAACATGTTTTAAAGCTCATATGAGTAAATTTTGTGTAATATATGACCTTTAAGGAAGAATTTCAGTGTCAAAAATACATCCTTATAGAATATGTGAATATACCTCAATTTGAATCACGTTAAACCAATATTTTTAAGTACCTTTATAGATCCAGTCTTGAAAAATGCAATCACAGACTTGCAGATAGCATTATGTCACTTTCCTCACTTGTGAAGAGAGACAGGAGTGTGTGTGTGTGTCTATGCATCATCCAGCTCCCGATGACCAGTGCCCAGTGACAGCGCGATGTGTGACAGAGGGAACAGCCAAAAATCACTCACAACGAGGCTTCGAAAAATGTTATGCAAATGAATATAGTCTTCTCCACCGTTTCAATCCAGCACTGGAGCAACAGCATGTGAAAAAAAAAAAGAAAAGACACCTCATGTAAATTATATAAACTTTCCACAGCTGACTACATCATTATACGCTGCTGGATTTTGGGTTATCATAGCAATCAACATGTAATTCATCCATAAAGTTTAAGGTTCACTGTGTAACTTTTGAGTAGTGGATCTGTTACCTTCTTGTTTCTATGGAAATGTCATTGCTCTGCTTGGAATGTTCCACAGTATGACATTAAGCAGCTCTACCTTACATTTATTCAATTACTTGTGGTTTTATAGCTCAAAAATACCTAGAAAAACTGGCATTCTGACTGTGAGCGTGGTCGCCTCTCCACAGATCTGACGTGTAATTTGGTCTGGTTTGGTCTCCATGATGATGAAAAGGTTTAATGACATACTGTTGTTAAAGGACTGAACTCAAACATGTCCAATAGCAGCACTTGTTGGTGTGTACTATTTAGATCACTGATATGGTATGAGATGATTTTTGACCTGGTTTGGACCTGGTGTTAGACCTGATTAAGTCCTGTTTTAGTCCTAGGTTAGACATGAGTCAGACCTCGGTTAGACCTGATTTAGTTCTGTTTTAGTCCTAGGTTACACCTGAGTCAGACCTGGTTTAGTTCTGTTTTAGTCCTAGGTTACAACTGGGTTAGACCTGGGTTAGACCTGGGTTAGACCTGGTTTAGTTCTGTTTTAGTCCTAGGTTACACCTGAGTCAGACCAGGGCTAGACCTGGTTTAGTCCTGTTTTAGTCTTAGGTTAGACCTGAGTCAGACTTAGGTTAGACCTGGTTCAGTCCTGTTTTAGTCTTAGGTTAAACCTGAGTCAGATTTGGGTTAGATCTGGTTTACTTCTGTTTTAGTCTTAGGTTAGACCTGAGTCAGACTTGGGTTAGACCTGGTTTAGTTCTGTTTTAGTCCTAGGTTACACCTGAGTCAGACCAGGGCTAGACCTGGTTTAGTCCTGTTTTAGTCTTAGGTTAGACCTGAGTCAGACCAGGGTTAGACCTGGTTCAGTCCTGTTTTAGTCTTAGGTTAGACCTGAGTCAGATTTGGGTTAGATCTGGTTTACTTCTGTTTTAGTCCTAGGTTAGACCTGAGTCAGACTTGGGTTAGACCTGGTTTAGTCCTGTTTTAATCCTAGGTTAGACCTGAGTCAGACCTGGATTAGACCTGGTTTAGTCCTGTTTTAATCCTGGGTTAAACCTGAGTCAGACCTGGATTAGACCTGGTTTAGTTCTGTTTTAGTCCTTGTGTTACAGCTGAGTCAAATTTGGGTTAGACCTGGTTTAGTCCTGTTTTAGTCCTGGGTTAGACTTGAG